TCCCTCTAATAATTCTCCAGCTGCACTGACGTATCAAGCGCACACAAACACACACACACACACACACACACACACACACACACACACACACACACACCAGTTTGTTTTTATATCCCCGTGGGCACTGTGGATTGACTTCAATTCATTTTACGGTAATTTTGTATCCTAACCCTGACCATTTACCCTAAAATTAACCTCACAGGTAAGCTACCTGACTCTGAAACTAACCTAAACTCAATTCACACCTTGATCCTAAACCCAACCCCTGACCCAAAATCCATACCCGTGGGGATTGGGCATTGGTCCCCAGGAGGCTGCCTTTTTCTGGAAAATGGTTCCCACGATGTAGCAAAAACGTGCCCACACACACACACACACACACACCTTTGACCCTTCTGGTCACATCCTTCCTCCACCTCTTTTCTGTGTGTTTAATCTCCCACCTCCCATCTTCTCTGTGCCCTCCCTTCTTTGCTGCCTAGGTAACTATTATGGGACTCCCAAGCCACCGCTGCAGCCCCCCATTGGGAAAGTGATCAGCAGTGGTGGTGATGCCCTACTGCCAGACGGGCTCAGCCGCAGCCTGCCGGGCTCTCAGCACTCCACTCCTCAACGCGCCAAGTCCTACAATGACATGCAAAATGCTGGAATAGGGCTTGGAGAGCAGCAACAGGAGGACGACGAGGACCTCCCTGACATGAACAGTAGCTTTACAGGTACGTGAGTTTTAACAAGGCAGGAAAAATGAATTTACCGGCAGAACCATTACATGTGTTATAAAAGGTTTTAGGTGCRAGTGTTTGTGTATAGTCTTTTGTCTCATGTCTCATTGTGTTCGTCCTGTGATTGACTGGTGATGTGTCCAGGAATGTTTTTATTGTGAAAATTAATAATTGTGAAAAATCCTAAAGTTGGTAATACAAATAAGGGGCAAGGGACTTTAAGAAAATCACTTTTAGGCAGTGTTGTATAAAGTACCACAAAGTATCGTAACAAGAAATTACTTTGGTAAAATTTAAAGTCTCCTTTAGGAATATTACTTGAGTAAAAGTCAAAGTATCTGATATTTTTTGTACTTAAGTATTAAAAGTAAAAGTATTGATTTAAAATGAGCAGTTAACTTTTCTGTAACGACATTTATTAGGAGGTGACCTCCCCAAAACAATGCAGAAATGGCTATATCGCATAAAAATAATAAATTTATGTTGCTGCGAGCCAAATGCAATAATATAATTCATGAAATACAAATACTTCTTAAGTACAGTCCTTTAATTTTAATGATTATGTCCTGCAGGAGTGTGACATGATTTGTTTGTGTACAAACTAATACGGTATCAGAATTTATACTTTTCATTCAACCACAATTAAATTCACTCTATCTAGGAGGCACAATTTATATGGATAGTATTTATTTTTTACAATAACAAGCTGGAATGAAAACAAGCAAAAATGAAATAAATGTAACGACTTTCTACTTCTTGTCTGTTTTAAAAATGTAAGGAGTAAAAAGTACAGCTAACTGTGTGAAAATGTAAGAAGTAGAAGGAAAAATTAGGCTGAAAAATAATTACTCAAGTAAAGTACAGATACCCAAAAATTCTACTTAAGTACAGCGACAAAGTATTTGTACTTAGTTACTTTACAACTCTGCATTTAGGTCCAACTGCTTGCTTAGTGTGGCATATAATTTACAAGCAGGAAATAAAAGTCTTATTAATACACTAATCATTATCCAGTCTGTGCATACTGTTACAAAAGCAACTTCTGGCCATTAGTGTGATTTCTGACTGAACCAAGGCAGCATAAGGAGTCAAAGTCAGTCCATCACTGCTGTGCCTTTGTATAACCAGACATGCTGGTAGCAGAGCTGTAACAGTTGACACAAAAATAAATTAAATCCATGCAATGCCACTCGGGCAGGGCTAAGACTAAAGACTAATGTGACAATAAAGTAAATAGGCTACAAAATGTCATGTATATCTAAGTCATACAGAACAATATTAGCTGAACTTGTCRAAATGTAATAAATTTATATGATTACCTTTGAAAGCTTTGGGTTTTGTACACATTACTTTATGCTAGGACTATTTATCTTCATTTGTTTCTTATTTCATTTAAAAGTGAATTAGCTTTGATGTGCAGCTTCTTACTGTGAGCAACAAGAGAAAATACAACAGTTGGTTCTTTATAATGCATCTTAAGCACCMCTCTATCTGGTTTTAACAGTCTTGTGCTTCATCTTCATTTATATATGATTTGTGTTTATTTGGATCCACATTTTGGTCAACAAATTGGCCACATGGCTTGCAGCAACCTCTAAAGCTACAGTAAATTAGATTTAGCTTCTTCATCTCAGCAGCAAAGATGCAGCACCTCACTGGGTTTTAATAAACACACATTTATGTTTTAAGGCAGCTTTTTTTTCCAGCTTCTAGCTATTTTAAATTGAACCAATCAACAGGCAAAGCTGCATGGAAACCCCTCCTTTCTTTGTATCGGATGCAGCCACCTTTSACAAACAGACCTGAACACCGAGTGTGTAGCCGACCTGAAAACACTCTGGGTGTAGTTTGTAAGAAAACTGTCATAGTTTTTGGTCAGTCTTAGCCTCAGAGAAACATGAAGTAGAATTTACRAGCTAATGGTTAAACTAGGAGAGGGTTGAGGTGGGGAGGATGCAGCAGGATGTTACAAAAAATAGGAGTGACTTKTTAGGAAGGCAAGTCTGAAAAGGACCGGACAAGTTAAGAAACTGTGGTTTTWCAAAGAAGACAATGACGTGTGGAGGAAAACAAAGACAAAGGAACAGGAAAGACCCTCTAGTTTAAAATGAGGCATCAAATACAAGAGCTTTATTGGTTGGTGAGCTTTTGTTTTGTTTTTGTTTGTTTGTTTAGGTTTTCTGGGTTACACTGCATTTTCTTGAAAATCTGCATTCAGAAATGTTAAATAGTGCCACCTGGCTGTATGCTGCAAAAATCTACAAATAACCAATCATCTATGAAATATTGTTACATTATAAGAAGCTATTAAGTTACCTGGGTTTGTGAAGGTAAAACATAATACTGGCATCAATGGTGTTGCGTCTCTAAGGAGCTCTGTTTGTGATTGATTTATGGACCGACGTGCTGTGTTGGTCTTTTGTTAAGAGCCCCGAAGGTGTTTCTCCCAGTTTGTTCCACAAAAGTGAGACCAAAAGTTGTTTATGTGCCATCTGTGATTGAGTGTTGGAGTTAGATAACAGGAAGCAGTTTAGAGGCTCTAGGTGTGAACTGCCCCCTGACAGAGGCTGTGTCCCAATTCAGGGGCTGCATCCTCATGAGTGTGCATTTATCGGCCACTTGCATCCCTTCCCTGCACCGAGTTCTGTCCCAAAAATAAAGACTGCATCCGAGTATCCTTCCTGGCCAAGGATGTCCCAGGATTCAACACGCCATCARCAAACTKAACAGAAAAACAAAGATGGCRAAGGTTTTTTTATTTATTTATTTTTAACCAAGTCGGCATTTGGAAATTCCTCACAAACCGAAAAAAAAAAAATTAAATGTAAGTTTATGACCTTACCTGATGAAATTTATGCTGCGATGAGATGTTAAATACAATGAAACTACAAGTGCTGATACTGGAATTATTGTTTGTTTGTTGTATTTACRTGTAAGGTTTTAATTGTGAAGTTATTCCTCCAATGAAAAGACATGTCCCGAAGCGTTGTCTGAAGACACGTGATTTAAATAAACAAMACAACACCACGGTGATGGGGTAGTGGGTGGTCACACAAACATACGTCATCCGAACATACGTCATCCGAAGCTAGACCACCTCATTTCACTGCAGTTCTATGCAGCATTCCTGACCCATGTAGGCCCCTGAATTAAGACAGCCAGAATGTCTTTGTAGTTTCAGAAAGTGGATTAAAAAAATGGAAGACTCAGTAACATAACTGTGATGTTCTGTTGAAGTAKGTGGCATTAGTTTGTGTTTAGGGTGTTTTCAGTCCTTCGAGTAGAATGTTTAAAATTTCTTAACATCATGTTTTCTTGAGCTAACAGTAGTTTTGATTTTTGTTTTATGTCGGCACTGCGTTCATAGCTACTTTGATCCTTGATGTCTGTGATGTGAAAAAAAAAACTTTTGACACTAAGCTGTATTTTGGTTTTGATGTCTCCAGGAGACTCCAGTGAATTAGACGAAGTCCATCAGCCGGTGCGCCCCTACGCCCCTCGCCAGAGTGACTTGTCCTACGCCAGGACAACCCCCTCACCATCGGCCACCACGGAGAGCACACAGCAGTCACACTCTCTCCTGAGCCATCCTCCCCCCGAGGACCCGCTGGGACCTCTGCCTGACAACTGGGAGATGGCCTACACCGAGAACGGAGAGGTCTACTTTATAGAGTAAGCAACAGGGGATGGAAAAACAAACATTTAGACCTTAATTTTTTAACATTTCCAATTGAATGTATTATTTTTGCTTTCATAGAAACCATACGTAAAGGGGTTTATGAGATGCTTTGGTAACAGACACAGAAAAAAAAAGCATTATTGCCAGAAGATCTGCACGTCAGGGGTTCCTGCTTGTTAAAAAAACAAACAAAAAAACCCTGTTTTTGTAGCTTTCAGTTGACTAGGGTTATTTACACCCTATGTAATGGAAAAAAATAAATTCAAAAATGTGTTTTTTTGTTGAATAGACTCATCTATAGCTCTTTTTGTTGACTTGAATTTCTCCTGTTTTTTTCTGCTCAGCCACAATACAAAGACCACCTCCTGGTTAGACCCTCGAAGTCTGGACAAACCTCAGAAACCCCTGGAAGAAAGTGAAGATGATGGTATGTCTTTGTCTGCTCATGATTACCCAACATACTGTTTGTCAAACCTGCTACTTATTTATTTGTCTTTTGCAGRTTTACAAAGTGAATCAAAGTGTTTGTCCCTGATTACCCTGCACAAAGCTAGTCTCATCAAATACTACCTCATAACAAACTTGGMATTATTAACCATAACTCAGAGTAGAGTTTTTCACAGTAACCCTTAGGTGTCAGTGTTGGGTAACAGAAGTGTTTAGTCACTGGGTGTTACTGCTCTGCTAAGCTCAGAACAAGTCACCTTTCTGCTTATTCACATCATTTCTTTTTAGCAATGTTATCACAGATTTTTTTTATTGAATCAGAAGCTGTTTCATCTTACACTGAGGCACAATCTTTAACRCATGTACCTAAAGTGGTTTTAAATATGACTCAAAGCTACGATGAGTTGGTCAAATGCACGTTTTCACCACATTTGTGATGCTCCAAAAACATGCAGCGATCCAGTCATTCGAGTCAAATGTGCCATGTGATTTATTTGTTTATCTTTCTGTGAACACTGTCACACTGTGTGGATGTGGATGCTCTTGCCACCAAGTGGCCAGATTTTGCTATTACACCCGTCTAACTCAGATGTTTGCCTCTTTTCTTCTCTAACCCACCCATCTTTTCTCTTCAACAATGCTGCTTCGTTCCATCCCACTGAGTAGAAGGGGTACATACGGAGGAGCTGGATAATGACTTAGGTAGGAAACTCTCTCATCTTTAGCACTCCAACACTGGGTTATAAATTTGCACTTTATCACTAACGTAACCCTGATTTATTTATTTATTTTTTTACGATTTATCCTGTTTAAAACAAACAGCTAAAGTTAAAGCGATTAAAATGGCTCAGAGTCGGAGCAGCTAATGGTCCATATCTCCATCATCATAAGCTCAGCACTGTGACCAGTGACTCTAATCGTGCAGAAATGAGACACTGCGCTTGCACAGGCTTGACATTTATCCAGCCCACCCTTAATATGTGGCTCTGACTTTCAGCAGAACACTCTCCGCATGTGGCCTTTAACACATTTGTCGAGTTCCCCACATGCATCAAACCACAAAACACTCCCACCCCAGCAGGCAGTCATTTCTTACATGAGATGTTAGCTGATCAGAACAGCATTGTTATTGTTGGGACTTTCAGAGGAGTGTCTGTGTGAGCCAGGCTTTACATATATATATGTATATATAAAATTGCTTGTGACCTATCTGTACACCAATAAACAAATTGGACACAGGCGTCAGGTCACTTGTTTAGGATAAATGGTGTCTGGAGATGGTGATATAGGTAATAAATGATGGTGTTTAACGCAATCAGTGCAACTTTTGTTTTTCTAAAATAGGATATGACTGATTTTTGTTATTACCCCATGGCAAAGGTGATAATGTTTTTGTCTGTATGTGTGTGTTCAATTCTTTGAAGTGTTAGTAAAATACGTTCTGAACCAGTATGTAGCTTTTAGAAAGTTGTCATCTACTACTTCTGTTGTAAACACCATTCAAGATGGCCGTCACAGCTATGCAAACAAAACTCTTGCACTAAAGGTGATGGGAGATGTCTTTTGTTTTTGTTTTTTTTTTTTTTCTTCAAAGGAACTCCAGACCTTTAATTAGCGATGGATTCTGGAATTATATGTAGCATCAGAATAAAGTTGTCACTAGTTCTTAAATTTTTTTATAAATCTCATAAATGAGAATGAACAATCCAATATGGGTGGCAGAATGAGCAAAAACAACCTAAAAACAATTTCTGTTCTTGTAGAAGAAGCAAACCAACATTTGTTTTGAATGTCAGCGTACACGAATCCACACTCTCCCACAAAGATACAAAGACCTTCTCTAAGGCACATACTTAGTCAAGACTATTCAATCGATGTGCTGCATCAGGAGAACGAGACACAAGCAGTCGGAGGTGTGATTCTTCGAGCTCGACTCCCTCGCAGGATGTGAGAAGGAGGGACGCGGGGCGAGAGRAAAACACTGCCTAATGAGTGACACCTTTTTCTACCTGTCTTTGTGTTCCCACATGCACCAAACGTCCCTTTCTTTGCACTTTACAGTCTTGCACGCACACACTCAAACACACACACACACAGGTTCACACACAGGTTCTCCTCCTGGAGCGAGACTAGTGCGGTGCGAAATCAAGTGGGTGATTAGAATTTTACGTGAGGTGAGGCGGTACCGCAATCCATTTACTGTTCCAGTTCAAAACATCTGAGGGGAGTCATTCGGCACAGCTTTACCCTTGCRGCAATGTTTTCTCTGTAACCTTGCACACCTTCTTTGGCTATTGTKATTTTTTTTTTCAAGACCAGCATGTAGATATATTAATGTGTAGGGATTTATATGAATTCTACTTGATTGTGCACCTGTGACTGTCAACTGTGGTTAGAAAATAATTTATTGATGAAGTGTATATCACCTTAAAACCTGTTAACATTCAGCGGAACGCCCGCGTGCCGTTTTAGTTTTGTTTTATTTTGAAATCCCGTTCTGTGTTTCYGTTCAACCTGTGTCCRTGTKCAATGCCTCAAAATTGACGTCTAGGCCCTCCTCTTTCGATTGACACCTCATTTGACCAACTGGGTTCAAGTATCGGCTGTCCAGAGCCAATAATATATGAGAAGTGACCAACTTCTGGTTTCCATCATCCTGGGTTTGATTGACTGTAGATACGGCCAGTCAGCTCCGAGCTTCGTTCTGATGCCACAGCTGTGTAGCCAATCACCATACCTTTCATTTGTATTTTATATTGAGGCGGTGGGAACTTTGTTTAGTGACRGACGAGGTAAACACGGATGGAGTAGGTCGCCATATTTAGACATCCACGCTCACAGGAAAACGTTTTTTTTTTCCCTCGTGTTTTGGCCAGTTAGCTGACTAAACCTGCTGATAAGATGAAAATATTTTTGTTATTAAGTGTTTCGGGTCCTTCAAGACATGGAAGAGTGATTTTTATGGCCAGGAGGTTTAAAAGTATGGATATAAAGACTTCCGGTYGCCATTTTGAGTCGCTAATTTCATCATCAAATGTAAGTGAAAAACACATTTTTTCGCTGCTGGTGGTTTTATAAGCTGTGTGGAATGTTAATGCTTTGAAAGAAATAAGGATATATTTGTTTATTCTTGTGGTTTGGTTGTTTATTGGTGGAAATTTGGCTGAATGTACTCCAGTTGGTCTAAATATTTCTGAACATTTACACACACACACACACACACACACACACACA